CCATTGAGTCACCTGTTCCCTGTTACCACCGAGTCACCTGTTACCATTGAGTCACCTGTTACCATCGAGTCACCTGTTCCCTGTTACCACCGAGTTACCTGTTACCAGCGAGTCGCCTGTTCCCCGTTACCAGCGAGTCACCCGTTCCCTGTTACTATCGAGTCGCCCATTCCCTGTTACCAATGAGTCACCTGTTCCGTTACCTCTTGCACCGTGGCCATGTAAAGCTCTACCTCACAGTCCATCTGCTGAATGGCTCTGTGTTTTTTCATGTATAGCTCAAGTCTTTTTAAGTATCCAGGTTCAGTTTTAGCTCTTGATTTACAACCGTTCTGTTGCCTTTAGCTTCTAACTAGTTCTGCTGCTTTCAGTTTGTGTTCTACTCATTTTAGCCTTTACCAACTCAGCTTAAGCTTCAGTAAATTTCAGCAGAAAATGTATTTTCTCTAGTTTTTATTATCCGTCTCTAATCTGATCTGCTTCAGATTGATCCTCAGTTTGAAGATGGACAGCCTGACCATCTGGCCGCCTCTGCAGTGAGCGTTAAATCTGTAAACGACAGGAGATTCATACAATTTAATTAGACGTTGAATTTCAAAAACTCCCATGAGGCTTCAGTAAACTTCTCACGTGTTTATCAAACAAGCTGCCTGACAGTGAGTCAGAGACATTTTTTGTAATAATGTTGTACGTCCTGTTACGCCCATGTAGATGATGCACATCATTTGTATTAAATTCCACTTTAATGAAATATTCAGCTTGTTTAGGAAAAACAAGAGGCAACAGGAGGTTGTATGACCTGCTGACATTAACAACACACCAAACTTTAGCTCGATATCTGTAAAAGTGACCGGGATAGAGCCATTGTGTGCTCGAAGGTCATTAGTAATGACATGATTGACCAGTTTTTACAGCATCAGGCGATAACAATGAAGTCTACGAGCCCTGGAGACAAACTGAGGACATTCCTTCAGCTTCCATGTGTCCGTCCAGCTTTGACCGCCTGACAGACTGCACAATCAGGACATTTTACTGCGAATAATTACCACTACCTGTGTGTGTGTGTGGGGGGGATGACGCTGATTTACAGGAGACGAAGAAGCAGAGGAGTTTAGCCTGAAGCGAACCATCTGCACACACAGCCAGACAAACAGGGATGACCTCCAGAATAAAATTATTTTTTCCAACCAGAAAAAAAAAAAGTATTACTGACAAACAATAAGCGTGAGGGCATTTTAAAGAGGGAGGATATTTTAGAATAAACAGACATTTGTTTCTCATCTGCGACACTGAAAGCTGATCGAACATCGTCTCTTGTGCGAGACAAAACATTTGTCTTTCCAAACGTCCCCAGCGTGACCTCTCCCCCGTCTGGTCACAGCTGCGTAGCGTGCCGCAAGATAATTGGCTCCCCGGGATAAAAACTTAATCGGAAGCGAAGACGCCCGCCATTTTTACAGACCTGGGTCAGCTTTATTTTGTCCCGGCGTTCTGTTTGAGTTTAAAGTCAAGAGAGCGACGTGCGAGACGAGTCAACAAGCTGCGGAGAGACGGATGAAACTAGAGGAGCAGCACCGAGATTAAAGTGTATTTCTGCCATTTTAAACAACTGCAGTCTAAAAACATTTGCTCATGTGAAAAGTCTTTACAATAAAATGTTACGCCGATGTTAATTTCAAATCACAGAATTATTCTGTCAGAAATATGATAATCCTGCAGGACGTAGGCCGGGTTGCACCAGAAATGCTGCAGCTAGCTGCTACTGCTGTTTGATGAAATAAGAGACGATAAAAGATGAAATGCAAAAGATAAGAAAACAGATTAAATTCATGAGATATTCAATTAAAAAAATACAATATGCAAGAAACAAGAATAAAAAAAACTAATAAAATTATGAAATAGGAGAAGAGTTAAGATATTAGATATAAAAAGAAAGATAACTGAAGAGGTTCTGATGCTGCTCAATAATCCAGGTAGATAACTCTCACCAGGTTGAGTCTGGTCCTCTGGACGGATTCTTCTTTGTATGTTGAGGGCATTTCAGAGAAACTGAGACGTTTATTTTCTAAACATAACGTCCCAGTGGCTTTTAAACCCCAAAATACATTATGGCAAGACTGGTCCATCCCAAAGATCCAGTCCCCCGGCACAAAGAGAGAAATATTGTGTATGCTGTTCAGTGTCAGGAGGGTGATCAGTCTTACATCGGGGAAACTAAACAGCCACTGGCCAAAAGGATGGACCAGCACAGAAGATCAACATCATCAGGCCAGGACTCTGCGGTCTACACTCATCTCCAGGCCAGCGGTCACTCTTTCAGGGATGAAGATGTTCACATCCTGGACAGAGAGGAACGATGGTTTGAGAGAGGAGTAAAGGAGGCCATCTTTGTGAAAAGAAATTGTCCATCATTAAACAGGGGTGGAGGCCTCCGGGTTCAACTGTCCCCCTCTTACAATGCTGTGATTGCTAGTATCACTCAGCCCTCTGTGAATAGCAAGTGGCCACCAGGGCACTACCGATCAGTCGTTAGGCTGATGGTCCTCCATGATGGGAACAGCTAGTTCTGGATGTCAGCAGCAAACTGGTTGATCCACTATGAGAAGGTGCTATTTATAAGACTGAGTTTGTTGCAGCTCCTCAGACTGAAGAAGTCCTTTGGATAAAAGACGAAATGTTTCAACAAGAAGAATCTGTCCAGAGAACTTGACTTTTCTTTGTTAGATAATGTAAAAATTGCTTATCCCTGCACGTGTACCTGAAACCAAAGGTTCACACCGTGCGCTGCCAGGAGTGAGAAACGGAGAGCAACCTCGCTGATATTTGATAAGATTGATAAAAAATGCCAGAGATAAAACACATTGCAGCTGAAGAACCTAGAGGACGTGTCTGTGTCCAAACACGAAGCACATACAGAACATGTGCTGGAACGACTGAGGTGAAGTGGACAACTGCTGGGGGAGGGATTACCTGCACGGGCACGGCTCGGACCTGAACGCTCGCTGGTTGGGAGAACAGCTGGGGGTCAGCAACACGCAGGGTGAACTCACCGGTCCTGTACGAAGACAAGAGGACAAAATATTGGACAGGATGTTTGGAGCAACTACAAGGCAGATTATTCAAAGAGCGGCCTCGGACCCGAGTGATGAAATGAGTGTGAATGAAGGAGACGCAGTCGTTAACCCAGCAGGAGGCTGGAGAACGAGTCATACGAGGCCAACGGAGCGGCAATTAGATCCAATCACCTCCAGGCTGTCTGCTGGAGGCGACATCAGGACAGCAACACACACACGCACCGCCAAAATGTCACCGTGCTGGCTCAACAGAATCAAAAGCTTATTACCCACAACTCCCTGGGGCCGGAGCTGGGAATCAGCCGCTGGCGTCGGCAGGCCGAGTGCCTGAACAAGTTTGTTTAGAGACGACTGGAAAGAAACAGCTGCAGGTGGAGCCTCGTTAGGTGGTTTAACGACGCTAAAGATCCAGAGAGATTTTACATTTACTACTTTATCTAATGACTTTATAGCTTTTAATCACTTTTACTGAAGATGGCGTTATATAAAAGTGTGTTTTTGTCATGGTTTTGGAGGATTGGACTCTGGAATGCAGCAAACTCAAGGAACTAAAAGAAAAAAAAAAACAAGTTTAAGATTTATTAAACAGGAAACAACAAGCGGAACACCGTTGACCCCGTCGCAGAGGGGTTAGTGAAAGTTTGTAGTTCTTGAGATGAGCGGGTTTTTTCTAGACTGGAATTGAGCAGGGAGTGCAAGAAAACCAGGATCTGTCACTCTGCAGACGGTGGTCTTAACTGCCGCAGATTAATCTTCTGCCGCCCCGATCATTGGAGGAAACTATAATTTTAAATAATATAAAAACGGGAAAGCACGGGGGTGGACACTTTACATACTGGTATATATACGGTGGTGGCCATAGCTAACCAAAAAGTTAGCTTCACTAACGCTAAACAGATAAAAAAAAATTATCGAAAGCTAACGCTAAAGCGCTAACTGTCATCATCCATTGCTGTCGCTGACGCGGTAAGACTGTCTGTAATGTGACAACGTTGTAAGTGAACACAACTCAAAATGGTTCATAAATCACAAGTAAAGTGTCCATGTCCCGTTCAGAGGCGAGCTTTCAGAAATGTATCCGGTCCATCAGAACAAAAGAGGCGGAGCACAGTGATGCATTCAATGTGTGTTGGACGTCTCCCTCGTGTCATTTAATAAAACGAATTAACTCACTTTGGTGATTCTCTTTGTGGTTAACTTCTTTTACAAACTAACTACAGAGTTGCGGTGCGTCATCATCAATATTCTCTCAGTAATAAATCGGTTTGTATTAAAGTAAAGATGAGTGAAATGTGTGAGAGAGTCATATCCCAGAGGCAGTGTGAGTGTTGCAAAGCATGCTGGGTAGGAATTATGTGTGAAATGTTTCTGACGGTTTAAAATTGTTTCCGAGTGTGAAAATGTTTTTTTCGTGTTATTTTCCTGTTCTGGTTTGGTTTGACATTTATGTTGGTCTCCATTACTGGCTGCAATGGTGGTGACATCACTGGGTGGAGCTATACCGTTCTCCTGTGTGCTTTTAGTGTGGAGAACTGTTATTTTAAAATAAACATTGCAAACTTGAATTTACCAGCTTTAAATTTAGCAGAAGCTAATTTTGTTAAATGTATTCAAAGTTTGTGAAAAGGCTAATCCGCAAAAAAAAAAAAAGTTAGGTCTGTTATTGGCAGATGAGCAGAAGAGTGCCCACCACTGGGGGTGGCCATCTTGGATTTTGATGTGGCAACCCATTTTTTAATGAATCTTTCATTCAGCTTGATGCAGCCACAAAACAAAATGGAAGTTGATACCTCGTTTATTTTTCTCACAACGTTCATGTATGGACAGATGGTGTTTCCGATTCCATCTTTTTGCACCGTGACGTTGGACAAGGCATCAAAACAACATGGAAGAGAACCAGACCTGGATAAGAGTGCACAACAATGCTTGACTGAAGAATTGTGAGAGCAGAGGAAGTAAAAAGGCTGGGGCTGATGAGGGAAGTGTCTGCAGCTGAGACTAATGGGAATGGGGAACAGGCGTAGGTGGGCGTGGCTAAACTGAGGAGCACAGATAGACTGTGGAAACATTACGAAATTAACATGAACTTAAACTTAAAACCGCAAAACTAACAGTAAAAAACATGGTGTATAATAGTTAGCATTTAGAGTAAATTAAAAAAAAACGCTGCTTTAAAAAAATAACACGTTGCACTGAGTAAATGAGATGAATGCTGAATATGTTCAGAGTTTATGGAGCTTAGTTTTGCTACGTTTTAATAATTGTATTCATCACATACAGCTGCAGTGAGCGAGGCTGTCATTAGGGGGAACGTGGGGTCTCATCCAAACACACATTAACATAAAAACCTTCACCCTTCACATAAATTCGTTCAAAACAGACCTTCCTTCAAACTTCGTAGTCCAACTCCGTCTCAGATTTTATGTTTTAAGTTTAAAGCCAGAGGAGGACAGATGTTTGATCAAGGAACGTTTGCGTCAAATAAAACCCAGACGTGATATTTGACAGTCTGGACGCAGCGGACCTCTCCAGACCTCCAGGAGAAATGCTGACATTAATGTATTTTACGCACGAAAGCACAAGAACGTTGTAATGTCAGAGTTTAACACGATGCAGGAACACGTGCTGTAAATGAAGCTTCTGGTCTAGTCTCAAGGTTTCACTGCGAGGGCTGCTCAGCATCTAAAATACTCACAACTTGCTGCAGCAGCTCTGATCAGCTGATAATTATCAGCTTACTGTAAAAGTCAGAAAAGGAATAAAGTTCTGTCATTTGGACTCTTTAAACAGGAATGTACAAACTTGAGATAAAACGTCTCGATACAAAAAATAAACGGTCCAGACTGAACTTTGCTGGGATTATTATATGGATTATTGAGCTTTGATGTTTTGAACCACTTTGGCTATGGCTGCCTCAGCGGAGTCGACGGGGGCGAGGGCGGGCTCCAGAAACCATCTTATCACCAGCAAACTGGTTGGTTCCATTATGGGAGTGTGCTGCTTGTGGGACTGAGTTTGTTTGTGGCTTCTGAGACTGATGAAGTCCTTTGGATGAAGGATGAAACATCTCAACAAAAAAATAACCCGGCCAGATGACCTGACTGAACTTTGTTGGGTTTATTATCTGGATTATTGAGCACGACCTTTGATAACGAGGGTCTGAATCTCTTTATCTCCATCTTCTATCACTTGTCTGGAGTCGGGTCCAGGAGAGAAACCCAGACCTCCCACTCTCCGGCTCCTCTTGGGGGTCCAAAGGCATCCCAAGAAGAAGAGGAGACAGGATGCTACCTCCAAGTGGGTCCAACCCGTGAGGAGGACCATCAAGGTCAGTAGCCATGTAAGATGGGCGGCAGGTGGGGGGGCTGATCGTGCTGATCCCTGGTGGCATATCGTAGCTCTGTTTGAATATATTTTGTTTTTATTTATTCAAAACTGTCTTAACTAAAATACATAATTTATGACCCAAGGCACATAAAAAAATAAAATAACTTAAAAAGCCACTTTTTTTTTTGTTTTGTTTTGTTTTGTCTGGAAAAATGAAAGTTTTTTAGCCGTTTGTTTGTGAAACCACGAAACAAGAAAACCATGTGGGAGGTTAAACCTTTTGTTTTTGATTATTAACATTACCTTTTTGTTAATACAACAAACTGTTTGTGTCTGTGGTTGGATGAAAACAGTAAAAACAACCAACAGAGTGGATCTGAAGGAATTGTCCTCCACACGGCGTAATTTGAAAAAATATGGAATCATTTCAGATTAAACTTAATCTATTAAATAACGGCTCCAACCGGACAGCGGATCATAATTTGACTAATTTATTGTCAGAATTCTTCTTTAGGCCGAACCAGCTGCTTCACGAACTTGTCGTTTTATTGTGTTTTAAATAGAGTTTTTAGCTTTGTAACTTTATTTTTATGCTTTCTTTTATTGTATTTATTACTGCTGTTCAGCACTTGTTTCAGCTGTGGCTGGTGTTGAAGCGCTTTATAAATAACGATGATGATGATGACAAATAACGAACATGTTCATTATGTTTATTGTGAATGGATGAATTAAACAAAATGCAGACGAATTATTTCAGAAAAAGGCGGAGCGGCCGTTTGGTTGAAAACAGGCTCTTTGATCCGCGGCACTAAGAGCTCTCGGACTGAAGTCAAAAGCTGTGAAAAGGCACAAAACGCTAAAGATTTGTGGATAGAAGTCATTTTGTTTGTGAGTTTATGGCAAATAAAAATAAACGACAGCAAAAAATAAAAATCACATGACTGGGACCAGGTAATGGTGCACATGAAAGAGTTTAAAAGTAGAAAAAACAGAATATTTTTTGAATTTACATGGAAAAAACAAAACAAACAAAACAAAAAAGATAAATTTCACGTTCGTGTGTAAAATGCACATAAAAATAGTGTTTCCAGCAGAGAAGCAGAATTAAAGATAAAAACACATTTTCTTCTTAATAACCTGATCAGAGCAGCAGATCTGTGAAACTTCCTGCTCAGAGTTTTAGACAAATGTTTTAATTATTTTTGAAAAAGGGTTTCTTTCTTTGTTAGGTTGTTTGGATAGGTTAGATTAGATTAAATTAGATTAGGTCAGATTAGATAGGTTGTTTGTTGTCGTGGTTTCTTCCCTTTCTGTTGTCTTGTGTTTGTTTCTGTTGGAGGTTTCTTCCTGTTAAAAGGGAGTTTTTGTCCATGTCCATTTTTATCAAACCCTCTAAACTTCTCACCTGGGTTTGTCCTTCCAGTGTCTGAAGTGGACCCGGCCCAGCTCCAGCTCGGCCCAGGTGAAGGTGTCGTTGCTGCCGACTTCCCTCTGGCCTGTCTCCTCACCGTCCCTCTCTGTAGACAGGAGCACCTGACCGTTGGTGGGGCGGCGGACGAGCTGGAAGAGCAGCCGCTCCGACGGACTGTCCTGGTCGTCCACCTGGAGCAGGGCGGGCTGCAGCGGGGCAGAACCGCCGAGGGGAACCAGCAGGGAACCGTTAATGTGGAGGGCAGGACTGTGGGAGTTTACTGAGGGAACAAAAAAAGACTAATTATTACACCGTCACTCGTAAAAATACAACAAACACTAAAACAGAAATAGTTTCACCATTTTATTCATTTTTAACAAGAGTGTTTTAGCAAACATAACCATAAAAATATCAGATAACATAAATTTTTCATTATAGCCCGCCGCCATAAGTGAGTAATAGTTTCTACCAGGGTCTGTTTCTTGTCTGTCTGTTAGCCAAAAAAACCCAAACAAAAACAGGATGCATTTTAAAGAAACTTTAAGAAAGTAATCAATGAATGAACAAAACAACTACAGTAATTAACATTTGGAGTCAATACAATTCAAGATGGCCGCCACAGCTTAGTAATCTTGTCGTCGTTTACAAGAAGTAGCTTATTTTTTTATTTAAAATAGAGCACACATCTTTAGCAAAGGCATAAAAATGAACAGAAACGTAATTTTTTTAACTGCAAGTATTTGTTTTATGTGGTTTAAATACAAACTTAGCATATATATATATATATATATATATATGAAAAACTGATGAAAAAATCAAATTGCAGGAAAAATACAAACTTTAAGGAGCAAATATAAACAGAAAAACAAAGATGTAAACATGTTTTTTCCAGCTTTAATCAGCTGACCAGGTTCTCATAAAACAAAACAAAAAAAAAAAAGTAAAAAAGTGTAAAATTTTTAATTATTGTAACTATTATAATTATTCTTATTATTCATCCAGACTGTTTGGAGTGGGTGTTTGAAGCTTCGGACAGAGCTGCAAAATGGAAATAAAGAAAGAAGTGGTTGTGTGGGAGGAGTAGGCGTGCGAGATGTTTTGGGTCTCGGCGTGGCATTTTGGAACCGGCTTTAATTGGAACCGGCTGAACTTTTCTGTTGAACTTTTTAAAGATCAGCTCCTTTCAGACGCTCGACTATAATCTCATTACATCTACTCTAATGACGCCAAACGGGCGCTCCAAACGTCAAAGTTTCCATCGTGTAATTAGACTTACAAATGAGGACGAGAGCAGGATTTAACGTTGAACTTTTGTTTCTGTTCGATGATGAAAAACCGATGGAGAGGAAAGACTTTCATCGCTTTTTTAAAATTTGATTGACTTGTGAATTAGTTCAAGCCTCCAGGCTAAAAATAATAATTATTTCACAAGAAAAAGGCATTTATCTCAAAGGGAGCAGAATAACACATTTCTCTTTGTCACATTTCATAAATTATTTTACGGCCACAGTTGTTTTTCCCCCCGGAGGCCTCGGGCATCGCGTCTTTTAGGTTCACACCCTCTTCTTCAAAATAACAATAAAAAGTTGAAGTTAATGACTCTGCGGCTGTTTTTAAAAGTTATCCGTGAGAACCAACGAACAGGAAGCTCCACGTGTCACACAGCTGATGTCAGATGTCACCCACTCCCCCTGCGCTGCGCCCCTGAACTCCCCGGGATTTTGTTAAATTAAAAAACACTGTTCTCGTTGTGAAACGGTCAGTTTCAACTGTTTACAGTTTATCATAAATCTGCACATTTTATTTCTACATGAGATTATATCAGCATAAACAAGGCTCGTCTGATTACACGTGCTAAGCTTGCTTGCTTCAGGTTGGAAGCAGGTTATATGTTAAGATAAATGTAATTCAATAAATGATCAAATATAGAACTGTAGGGGAACATCATCTCAAACAAACATCATTCCTGTGTTTTGTGTTTGAAACTGTTAAAAGTAAGTATCCTGATGCGCGCTCAATGACCTCGGAGTTGGAAACATACGAAAAACTCACAAAGTTGATAACTTCCCTTATCGAAAAGGAGTATTTCTCCCAGACTTCCCATGAAGATAACACCGTAAGAACCATTTGTTTGACATTCCTTTTCCAGGAGATGGGCAGTGATCAGCGATACCAAGAGAAACTCCGAAGCCTGAAGCCTTCACACTTCCCACCGGAACTTTTAAGAACAACTGCAGAGACTTCACACTGGAGCGAGGAGAAACTCGCTTCTGCGCTTGACCTCAGAGAGGAGAGAGAACCTTCGGCAGACGACTCTGAGCAAACGAGAAGCATCCTTTCTGCAGGCGTCTCAAAACGAGAGACGGGACGAAAGATACAGAAGTTACCCAGCACATGCCCAGAACCAGAACCAGGCTGGCATTGATCCGAGAGCTGTCCGCCAGGCAACCAGAATCACACCAGAGTGGTAAATCCCAAGCTGACCACCATGGACCTTCATCCCCCCAACCGATGACAGGTGAACTTTGAGGAGACTTCAGCCACTCAGTCACCGGAACATCTGAGGCTGGTATCATTTAGCAGCCGTCGGAACCATTCCTGACCATCTACATCCCGGTAGGACAGAGACCTTTCACTGCCTTTCTGGTGACCCTACATCACAACGTATCAGACAAACTTAGCTCGCCTTAGAGATATCTTAGCCACTTCAGCTTGGAAATAAACCAGTCCAAAGTCTGCCTTTTAAGTTTCACGAATTTTACTCGTCAATTAGACCTTTCATTCAAAGCCATTTGATGTTCAGTTAACTTTTGTCATGCATAATTTTCATCATATATATATCACAGATTATTATTTTTATAATAAAAGACATAAAAATCAACTGAATTTGTGATTATTTTGTTATATCTGTGTGTATTAACTGATTTGATGCCTTTAAATGAGAAAAGAACTCAGGTTCAATGTACATTATTTTGGGGTAAATAGAGACTGATTTTCCTCTCTAAGAGAGAGGCGGTGCCCAAACGACGAGGTTATTTGCATAATACATGTATATCTTATGAGCTTAACTCATAACTGATAATCAAACATATATTTACACCCCATATCGCTACAGAACATAAACTGTATTAAACAACTACATGAGATGAAACTGTTAAATAAAATGGTAATTTTTAAGGCAGAAATCCTCTTTTCGTTGTAAGAGATTGAGTCAGGATCAATTTATGGCAGAAAAAACAACAACTTTTTATGTCTATTTACAGGCATTTAGATAAAACAATGAATTAAAGTCCTCAGTCACCGAGATAAATTTCCATCGTCTTTAAAAATGAAAAGTTTGATGAAAAACATGTTTTGTTGTGGTCTTGTTAAAGCCATTCAATCCACTGATGATGCAAGGATTAAACTGACGCTGCTTTCAGCCAATAAACAGAGGCAGAGCCACAGTTTGAGCCAATCAGAGCAGAGCAGGGTGGGGCCTGTTGTCTGATACACAGAAGGTGATCAGCGCTCCTGACTCTGACTGCAGGTGAGAGCGACAATCAGTGCTTCCTGGACTGTTTACTGAGGAGGACACCCTGCTACACTAACAGAAGGTGATATGTAATACATTATTAAATGTCTACGTATTAAACATGTGTGTTTGCATGCGACCAATTCACTGCAGCCAGGGGAGAGATACCTGAACTGAAAAACCAACACCCCCAACCTCTCGTCCCACATTGCGCCCTACCTCCTCGGGACTTCTGCATCTAAAATCTAACTTTGTATCAACGTTAACGTGTTTGGAGCATCATCATCAACGTACAGACATGTGCAACGTGTGCACGTGACCAAACTCTGGGTCAGAGAGAGACAGCACCGTCACAGGAGCGCACTCAGTCTGAGTCTGCTGCTTGTAGTTCTTATACGATAATTACACTGAGATGAATATTTATTTGCCCCAAATTATAACAAAGATGTTTTGTCACTGTTTCAATTTGTCCATTTTTACTTTAAACTCATGAAGTCCTCTCTGAGAGTCAGTGTCAGGTGTTTGTAGTTTATCATAAATGTCTGCTAAATACAGTTCTTCATGGTGTTTTAACAACGAGGTGTCGTGTCTGTTTGGATGAGCTAAACTTTATATCATATTTAGAAGCATAATGAGAGCTAACTGTACTGTGATAAATGTGATAAATGGTCAAATTTTAAAAAATAAATGGTATTAAATGACTACATGAGCTGAAATCCTGTAAATATAACCCCCTTGAATGAAATAGGGGAGAATTTTGAAGGGGAAATCTGTCAGTTCATTTTTATTGCATATACATATTTATACATATATATACATAAAAATAGGTTTTGTTGTCTCCTGTCGCGGAGCAAAAAGGAGGGAACTGGAAATATCCTCCATTCATCCGTGCATGTTATGAGCTCGATGAATGGAGGATATTTCCAGTCCCCTCCTTTTTGCTCCGCGACAGGGGACAACAAAACCTGTTTAGTTTTGAAACCATATAATGAATTAATTTGTGTAAAAAATAACATAATATTAAAAAAAAAAATGGTTCAGTTTTCTCCAACATCAGCCCAAGTCAACAGAAAAACAACAACAACACAAAAACTTCATTAGAGCATCCAAATAAAACCATCTGTAGTTGAATCCTGCCTTTGTAAGAGGACTTTGAACTTTATTTATTTTTTTCTTATTTAGAAAAAAAGTAAAATAAAAAATTGAAAGCTGCAGCCTTGGATGGACATTAAGATTTAATAATCTTATCCTCTCAGGACTCAATCATACAGCGTGCGTCCGTGGGATTTCACCGTTTGTAAAAAAAACACTGAAAGCTTTGGTTAACCTTCCTGTTGCTTAGCAACCAGCCACCGTGCAGCATCTTCTGGTCATCTGCAATATTTAAGAGCCCATCCAAGTTTCATTACGTATAATCAAACAGCATTAATGCTCTCGTTATGTAAGACACGGAATCCCCGCGGTGTGAACATTTGTTTAGTCTGAAGAAATGAACGAGGCTAATAAAAACAATTAAAATATTCAGTTTGGAGTCAGTTTTTTTACATTTAACTTAATATTCATCTATACCTTTAAACAAACGCTGACGACTGAATTAACTGGTGGCGTTCACAGCAGACGCCTCTAATGAGGAGCTTTAATCACTTCTCTGCAGATTCATGGAGATTTAGGTTTAAAGCTTCCAGCTGGTTTGTGTTTCCATGAAGACGGACCCCATTTTACTCATTTAGCAGGTAAGAAATCTGGAGACTGACTAAAAAAAAAAGATTTTCTTAGAAAACTTTGACTGGATTGACCTGGAAATGTTTAAGAATCAGAAGTGACGATGGTGCTGACTGAATCCACTACTGTACTTGCCACTGTAAACATCGCATCAGTCCAAAAATATCTAATAAAGTGGAAAAAAATATATAAATACGTCGCTTCGCTGTATAAGTTGCATCTATTACGTGTCACTGCTGACAACCTGGAAATGTGGGCCGGTGTTGTGCCAAAAATCGACCGCGGGAGGGTGCACGGGAGGACTTCAACAAGAATTTAACAAGATTAACACTTAAAAACAAATTAATTGTTTGCTCGACTTTATAGCAAAGGTGCATCTCAGTTGAACTTTTACTTAATAAATGCACTTCAGTGGTCAAATCAGCTTCATTTCGCCTGGGTGGCGTGGTGAAATCACCTGTTAATGAGACACTTGGCTTGCCATATCAGTCGAGGGCCCTCTAGTGGCTGAAAATGGTAGTGTTCAATATTTTCCATGTCAAAATTAATAAAATCATCAGATCTCAACCAAAAATTGGATTATAAATATAGGGGGAAACATAAAAACGTTGCTTCGCTGTACAAGTCGCAGGGATGCTAATTTATGCAAAAGGGTAATTTATGCATAATACAGCAAATATTATGGTACATTCAAAATAATGAGCTTCAGTTCTTCCTTAATTATCTCTAAACACCGAACAATCATTGATGAAAGGAGGGGAGCTTATTCCATCCCATAATTATTTTTGGATGAGTCTTTTCAAAGCCACACTCGTACTGTGCTAATACTCAGGAATAATCTGAATGAAAACATCAGGATTATGAATGTGAGCAGCATAAATGTTTAATTCCGATTAAAGCGATGAGCCAGTTAGTGATGGGCTTATAATACAAGATTCACACGAACCACATGGGTTATTTTTAATCCACTTCTCGGACTAACTGCTGGGATTAAAATATATTTCTCCAAACTGAGGTGGTTCAAAGAGAATTTTACAGCAAATAAGTTTTACCCTTTCTGCTTGTGACTCCAGCCGATCGACAGGAGGCTCTACTGGAGGTTTCTCCCTGTTCAAAGGGAGTCATTCCTTTCCACTGTCGCCAACCAGCTGCTCAGGATGGAAGGAAGGAAGAGAAGGCTCAACTCAATCTGCTGGCTTCCTTCGATAATTAACTTCCATCCATCCATCGTCGAGTCAGGTCTTGAGAGCAGCAGCAGGGAGGTCCAGGCATCTCTCTCCACAGCCGTACCTTCCAGCAGGACTTCAAGGTGTTCCTGGGTCTTCCCCAGGACCTCCTCTCAGTTGGACGTGCCCCCAGCACCTTCCTAGGGAGGCATCCAGAGGGCATCCCCAAATGTCTGAACCACCTCAGCTGGCTCCTCTGGAAGTGGAGGAACAGCGGCTCTACCCTGAGTCTCTCCTGGAGAACTGAACCTCTCACTCCATCTCCAAGGAGTCCAGCTGCCCTGCAGAGAAGACTCATTTCGACCTCCTGAATCTATGATATCTCCTCTTTCTGCATCTGACCATAGGTGAGGGTAGGAACGTAGGCTGACACAGAGAGCCTCTCCTTGCAGCTCAGCTCCCTCCTCATTACTATGGACCGGAACATAGTCCGCAGTACTACATAAACTGCATCGATCCATCTGCTGGTTTCACGCTCCATTCTTCCCTCACTCATGAACAAAACCCTGAGATATTTGAACTCCCCCATTTGAGGCAGAACCTCCAACCCAAAGAGGACAGTCCACGCTTTTCTGACCGAATGGTCATATGCAACACTAAAACTGCAGCTGTGCAGAAAAATAAATAAATAAATAAATAAAATAATTAAATAAAATAATTACAGCCATTTAGCACAGTGGTCCTAGATACAACAGCCACTTTCAGCCGCTTGTATCTAAGACATCGATCTTTAGGTCATGATTCAAACTTAATGACTGGAGGTGAGGGTTGGAACGTAGACGGACCAGTCAATGAAGAGCTCCTTCTTCACCACCACAGACGAGGCCCTGACCCATCAGTCTGTCTTCATCTCCATCTGGTTCTGACTTACGAACAAAAATCTCAGCTACTTGAACTCCTTTAAGGAAGAAAAACTTTTAATAAATCACAGCTGACGAAATGAGTGTGCAGACGATGCCGTGTGTTTTTGCTGCCATTAGTTGTTCAAAACTCACAGACGGTCAACGTCCCGCACAGTTGTAAGCTTTCAGAAGCACCACAGAACCAAAAGAGGTGTGGAGCAGAACTCAGCTGGGTTGACGTGGAGCGCTAAGCATTAAAAATGTGAAGGACGTCACATCGTTGTCAAAACGTGATGCATCAACTCAGTTTAGTCATTTTCTTTGTAGTTAACTCATTTTTAAACCTAAATACGACGTTGCTGTGTGTCACCATCGATCTTCCCTCTGTAATAAATCTGTTTGTTTAATCCTGCGGTCAGGGGGTCACTCAGACCAGATGTCATCACTTCGTCATATTACTGAGACGGTGCACCAGCTTACTTTTTTCACGTCAACCATTTTGCCTCTGTTACTACCTCTTGTGCAACATAAAGATAAATCTGGGGTGAGTTGGCTTCAACCCCCCTCGCTGCCTCAGTCCATTCAAAAATCTCACTGAGGTGGACAGAAGACGTTTAAGTTCTGCTCTGAGGTGTTTGTGAAAGAGCCTAGAGACTCACCCCGACCTGGAGGGAGCATTTCACCTTGGCTGGACGTGTTTTACTAACTGCTTGTATATTTTTGCGCCAGCTGTAGTTTTCGTGTTGCACAACAGCTCAGTAAATATTGAAATTCTTCTCACAGCACATTTCTCTTTCACAAGCTCCTCAAAAGTCTCCTCACTTCCTGTTAACCTCACAAGGTTAAATAAAAAAAGACAACAGAAATGATGTTTGAATGTTGAATCAGAACTCTGGGTTTTATAAAGTTATTCTTACCGTGGCAGATTCTGGTCTTCAGCTCAGCGTAGTATCCAGGACCGCAGTCGGGGGTGCAGTACCCCTCCATGAGGTAGGTCCGATCACGACAAACGCTGCAGCGTCCGACCCCGTCGCACGACACGCAGTCAGACGAGCAGGCTGCAGGTTTCCATTCATTCATTCAGCATCATTTGAACTTTTACTTCAACACAAAAAGGTAAATAAATGAACGCGTGAGTTTTTACCCTTGCAGACTTTAGATGAGGCGTCCAGGAAATGGTTTCTGCCACATTCGAGCACGCACTGCCCCTGCAGGACGGCGTACGGAGGCTGACAGTCCAGGCAGCGGCCGGGACCCCGACACGTCAAACAGTGATCGTCACAGGCTGGAAACACACACAGGCACAAAAAACAGTCGGCTTCACAAAAAACAAGAACAAAGTGAAGACTTTTTAGAGAAAAGGTCTCACTGGGGTCGACAAATACTCAATATGTAAAATAATCTGGCATTTCTGGGTAATAGTTTGCTTTAATATCATTTTGACGCAGTAATTCTCATTATTTGTGAGCTAATTAAAAATATTAGATTCGTAATAAGAGTTTGTTTTAATAATTTAGGGCGAAACAAATCACAAAGACCATTTAAACAAGTATTGTTTCTAAATAAAATGGATTCTTATGTAACATGTTGAGGGTTAAAAAAAACACGGTAATTAAAAAAAACAACAACAGCAACTTGAAACAATTTAAAGTCATGTCAAATAAATAAATAAAATTAAGGTAATAAAGACAAATAAAAATGTATTCTGCATATTAAACAAGAATTCCTTGATTACCGGTACATCCATCTTTGCCTCATAAGTTTGCATTAAACGACAAAAGTCAAACAGAAGCAGAAAATGTTTGTTGCTTCATTTTGAACTCAGGTCATCGTTTAACTCCACATTTTGTATTTAAGGCATAAAACTCTCAAAAATAACTTGTTTGTCTTTGAGATCAAAACCTTTAACGTAAGCAAAGTCACTGAATAATCCAGATTTATTTAGATTTAAACATTTATTTTTTTTCCAGTCTTATATGTTTTAGCTTGTAGCTAATTTTAGTTTTTAGCTACCGTTTTGCTATTGATTGTTTTAGAAATGGTTTTGCAAGTTTTAGCTTGTAATTAAGAGTTTTTGCTGATTTTAGCTTCCTTTCTCGTTTTAACTTTTACGGTGCAGATGTTCAGCTCCTGCAGAAAACACAGCTCCTCTGCTGCTTTTTATTTTCAAAGTGAACTGAAGCTCTTCTCTTCAATGTACGTCTTCTTGTTGTTGCTCGTCTCCGGTGTCCTGAACGTCCTCGTTAACCGGGGAAACGGCATAAATTTAGCTTTAAAGCGTTTGTTTCTGTTCAAATGAGTTTCCTCTCCGTCCCACAAGAATAATCTGAACATCATCATCACCGTTCACACTTTTATAAAACTATCTCTTTGGGAACTCTGCAGCTGATGAACAGCTTTAATCAAAAGCAGATTACGAGAACAGAACAGGAAATTAGCTGAAGGTGGAACCAGGATATCTCTGCTTGGTGGTGGACTGACCGAGACATCTGTCCCCCTCCTGATAAGACCCAGAGGAGCAGCCCGGCGTGCACAGCCCGTCCTGCAGCACGTAGCCCTCCATGCACTGCAGGCAGTCGGTTCGCAGCGGACCTCTGCACGCGTTGCAGCTCCAGTCGCACTCTGGAGGAGGAGGAGGAGGAGGAGGTTGGGATTAGAGGTGAGGGGATTTCAGCACAGAAATAACACAGAAGAGAGAAATTTAACTTAAAAAAAAATAATCTAGGATGTCCACCTTCACATCTGGGGAGCCAGATTAACAGTCAGGACAAACAGAATTTCAGGGTCCAGAAACCTGTTCGAAGGTCGACACTGACGAAACCTTTTACCCGTTTTTTATTTTGTTGAATTTAGCCTGCAGGGTTTTGATAATTTTCTGTCTTCTTTAAGTCATTTTTAATTAAACTTTGCTAGTGTTTGTCCGTTAGCACCAAGTAATCACTGGATGTACGTCCATCAACACAAATTAAGATGGCCGCCACAGCAAAATCACCAAGAGAACCGCAAACGGCACATTATACGCCTGTCGACAATGATGACAGACAGAAACTCAACCATAAAACATCCGGCCTTCGACAGGCTCATAAAAATGTTACAATTCAGTTAATTTTAATTTAGCAGGGTAGTAGCTGAGAGTCATCCTCAACACATGCTAGCAGATTGAGTTACCTGTGGTTTGAGGTGATTTCTTGTGTCTCCTGAACAAAAACTGAACTTTCAGAAGAAGCAAGGTTGTTGGAAAAACTTCCACTAACAGAGAAATGTGAATCTGTTTGGGTCTCTCAGCGAGAAGATCAGCTGCACATATGGAGGCTTTAAAATCAAAGAACCATGCGTATTTCTTGTGAGCCTCATCCATCAGTTGCGTTGAGCAGAAGACGGTGTTAAAACACACACAATGTTTGCTGTTTGCATTTCTGGACCCAGTTTATTATGACTGAGGGAGCCGTGAACTCATCCCGCTCTTCTTCACTACGTGCGGAGTAATTTATGGATATCATAAAGGGTGCAGGATCGGTGGTCGTTATTAATCCTCTCCTCGGCGGTGGCGTACCTCTGCAGGTCCGGGTGGTGCTGTTCAGGTAGTACTGATGGGCGCAGCTGTCGTACTGGCATTCTCCAAACAGCAGCACCTTGGTCGGGTCACGGCAAGACGTGCAGACGCCAGCCGAGTCGCACGTCCGGCACTGGCTGTCACATCCTGACAAATTAAATAACATAAAATCAGATTTAAAAGGTGGGTAAAGAGGTCGGAGCAGACGGCAGAGGGTGGATTTAATTCAGTTTATTAAGTCGGTTCACAACAGAAGTCACCTCGAGGCGCTGTACAAAAAAAAGAAAAAAATACATTTTTCTTGATTTTTAAGAACCTTAAACCGTTTTGTTTTGATGTTCAAATGATAAACACGTTTTTGTTTATTTGAAAAAAGACCAGCTGACAACAGAACAGTCAAAAAGTATTAGAAAAACAGGACGAAGCGGTCAAACGGAAAACTAAATTTTACTCCATTTTGAACAGATTTTAACACCATCTATGACTTAAAACTTACAAAAGTACAAAGCAGCACAAAATGGACTGAGAGAAGCTGTAAGAGCATCCAAGAGGCCGTACAGAGAGAAACTGGATCGCTTCTACTTTAATGCTGACACAAAGCAGGTGTGGCGAGGCCTGCAACACATCACAGACAACAGAACCCCCAGCAGCACCATCAGCTCTACTGCCCTCTCTGCAGAGCATCTACCACCGCAGAGTCCACAGGAAGGCTACCTCCATCGTTAAGGACCTCACCGACCCCCAACATGGAGTATTCACACTTGTACCATTCAGCCGGAGGTACAGATCCTCCAAATTCAAGAACTCCTTCTTTCCAAGTGCCACCAGACTCTTAAATAACTGGATGTGCCTGTCACTCGACTGAACCTCTTCATACATTTGCACTTTTTTTTTATCTCTTTAATGTTACATTTTGAACATTCTCCTTGGTTGGTACTTTTGCTGCTCTCAATTCTCTCTGATTATAACAATTATCTGAAGCGCTGTCAACGTGCATAACATGGGTTCAATCCTCTCCAAATTATTCAGGTTTATTTAATTGTAAACTCACTTCTGGTCTGATAATAAAGACGTGTTTATCGGTTTATCTCAGGTCTCGGAGTGGAGGTTTTTGGAAACCTCCGGGCATCGATGTGAACTCGCACGTGTTAACTACGAATGACTGAAATAGTTTTTCTGTGCGAGGAGATGAACAACAGTAACAATGGCAGAGAGCAGAGTGCTGTTTGTGCTGATCACCATTTCCAACATGTAGGATCAACCCAACCTCGTCCTCGGTCCAAACCAACGTTACACAATACACAACGCACGTGTCGTTGACACGCAGAAATCACAGCGCCAGCTTGTGACACGTCATGAAAACTACAGCAGATCTAACGAGCCAAGAATTACGGAGTAAACATGCAACTTTTTCACAACATCGGGAAAACGCTAAAGTTTCTAGAGCTTGTTCACGTGTAAACAGAACTTTGGTTGTTTTATGACATTAGAAACCCACTTATGTAAATCTAAACGTTTCATCAGATAAATGTGGGATAAAGTTAATTTTAGAAACTGAGCAGAGTCTGTTAATAACAAAGATGCCAGCTGGTGCAAGCTGACATGACTTTGGCATTTTCTACCTGACAAGTCAACAAAAACAAAGTGAAACGTTATTAAAACATCCGTCTTGGTTTGTCTGTAGCGTTGGCAAAACATCTCCTGAACCAGTGGGCAGGAACTGGATGTACCTTTACAACCTCGTTCAAGGAGCAAACACACAAAAATATTGAGCTAGACTCGGGCGTGGACCCTCCCCGTGTTACCTTGACAGATCCGACGGCCGTTGTCATAGTAACCCATGGGACACTTGGGGGCACAAAGACCAGAGGGCAGCAAGACTGCGTTGGCGAGGCAGGAAGTGCAGGACAGAGGCCCCGCCCCACTGCAGGACTCGCATGAAGGATGGCATTCTGGGAAAAGAAGCGAACGCAATTAAATACTGTGAGATTAAATGAAATAACATCATAATAAAAGTCGGTGTTACTCCTGGAATACACGTGCAAAATATTCATACATGTGACAGTTTTACAGTAAATTAAAAGCCAGAATGTGCTGCTCAAAATCCTCCACAGCTCAAATGGTGAGAATCCTAACAGGAAAAAGAGCCGGCAGGTGAAAAATAACCTTCATCGTTATCGCTAAAGAACATAACGGTTCTGAAAGTCCAGTCTTTGAGCTCCTGAGAGCACAGGATACGTTCAGATTAAATATTGTGACTGAGTCCGTTGTTCATTGTCCTGTTTTATCTCCTCTTTTTACATATTTGTGTTAAAGTGTGCGTTGAGCTGCTAAATGAGGCTCCTGAGGTTCTGCTCTCACAGCCTGAAGCCTCCTCTTTCCGTTTGAGCCTGAATCAGAACGAAGCGCTGCAGCAGCGCAGCGTGGAGGCAGCTTCTCTCCTGTTCACCTGCTGAACTGAAGGACGAGGAGCTGCGGTAACGGCTCGGGACGAAGACGATGACAGAACTAATGAGACGAAGGGCCACAGGAGGGGAGGAAGACGAAGGGGACGATGACGATGAGGCTAATGAGGGTACGGAGGACTCCGGGCAACGATCAGTCGATGAGTAGGAGGATGAGAACACTGATGGTTACTCTGACGATGAGGAGGGGTGATTACAGTAAGAGCGAGGAGGAAAATGAAGATGAAATCGAGAATTATGAAGATGATGACAATGAAAGATTACATTAATAAAGAGGAAGAGCGATGAGAATAAAGCCAATGGGGAAGAGAAATAAAAACTGGAAGAAAATGTGATTAAAATGTGATGAACAGCAGTGGACAGAGTTTATAAATAAAACAAAAAAAGACCAGATTCACTAAAACTACGCAGCGCTAACATCTGAGCAACATTAGTATCCCACCGACGAAGGTGCAACAATCAAGTTTTTGCCTCCAGTTGTGTCTGTTTATCTCATGAACCACTGGATGGACCTGAAAGAAACTTCCTGAAAGTTACAAACTCGTTACCGTAATTTCTGGACTATAAGCTGATACTTTTTTCACAAGCTTTGAACACAGTGGCTTATATTATGCTGCCCCTAATTTATGGATTTTATTTATTTGACGGGCTAATGAGCTTCATGCCACCAAACCATTTAGCCTCGTCACACCCAGGCGCTCACATATCTGCCCAATACATGTCTCTCTATGGGGGTGGGTCCTCGTGACTAAATGAGACCACCTGTATGAATAGAAATTAATAATAATCCGACCAATGAAATTACCGAACCCCTCCTGATCTCCCGCTCTCTCCTCCCCTCTCCGTTGTGCCCCCAGGGAGGGAAGAAGCACGATGAAGAGGAAAGCACAAGCTCATGGGCGCAGTGCGAAGGAGGAAAACGAAGATAGTGATGAGTGACTTCCTTTTTTTTTTTTAACCAGCCGTGTTACCAGCACTGTTCAGAAAAAAAAAAAAAAAACTGTACGTATTTGTGTATGTTGCCAATACGTATTTAATTAAAAGTGTAAAAAATCTTTGTGTGTAAATGTCTCATGTTACAACATGGACACCCGCAGCTTATAGACAAGTGTGAGCCTATATATGTACTTAAAAAAAAATAGTGGACGCAGCTTATAATCAATAATCCGGACATTATGGTAACTTTCCGTCAACACAAAATGGCAGCCATAGCTAGTCAAACTTAGCCCACTAAAAACCAGCTCAGACTCAAACAGTTCAACAGATACTGAGCTAAACTTTAATGTGGTAGTGGCTGAAAGTCATTAATAAAATATACTCAAAGCACCAACAGATCACGCAAAATTTTGCAATCTGACACGAGACTCCATATTCATATTGGGTCATTGTCAAGGTTTGTTTCTATTATTAGCATATTTTTCATCATTCTCCCCAGAAAGTTCACCTGGACCAGCCACTGTGTCTGAATTGCTTTCCTGCCAGTCGAGGCAGACGGCTCCTGATCCTGATCCTGGTTCTGCTGGAGGTTGATTTTAGAAGAAACCGCTTGAAATAAAAGGCAGTGGGCAACAGACCTTTCTTCAAGGAACAATAGGCTTTAAGGAGAAATTATACACAGACTTTTTAAATGAGTAAGTGACATTCGGGCTTCATTGACCATCACTGCATCCCGTTTTATAGGAGGTTTTATTCCACAGCTCGCTGCACCCTCTCTACCCTGATCCCAGCTCCCAGCTGACGGTTGTTGGTGAGCACGAGTGGTGCTCGGTGACAACAGCTTATTTAGACTTAATTACTTAGGGTTCTGTTTGTTAACCTCTGGGTGTGACGCTCTGGTTGATAAAATGTTCTATAGTCATCAGGTTTTGTGTTCTGAATGTGAAACAGCAACAACTGGATGTTAGGCACCTTTTACTGACCACTTCTATGAAAGGTGGGTAATCATGTAAGTTCCTGTGTCTACGTGTTTGCTATCAGAAGATCCCGTGGATCGCTGGACATTTTTCTTTAATGAAACTCTTAGGAAGTAATCACAGGAATTACGACTGATGAATGTTGGAGTCAACCAAATTCAAGATGGCCGCCCCAGACAACTGACTTTAACAAACAGAAAAATAGCTATAAATCAGCTAATTTAAAAGCTGTTAAGCAGCAATTTGGTGCGATATTAGCCAATAGTCATGTTTTTTCTTTGAGGAAGACTACTAGTCTCAGAGCGCCTCGCCGTTCTTCGACCCCACTCGGTTCTAAATGTGTTATTCTACCTATTTTGCTCATTTTTCTTTAAGTTGCAGTAAAAAAAAAAAAGAAGATTAAAACAAAACATCTTCCACTAGGTCACTGAAATCTCCAACTGATGAATAAAACATAAAGTTCTGATTGATATATAGTAGCCTATATATACATATTTTCTTTTACATTTGGACAGCTACATCCTGACCCCTGACCTTTCTACATAAAGTAATGAGGCAGGGAAGTGAAGGTCCTTACTGATGCAGGCTCCGTGCCAACCATAATGACTGGGAGGACAGTGAGGGATGCAGCGATCGACCAGCAGCCACGTCCTCGGAGCGTTGCACCACAGACAAACACTGCCGGTCCCCGTCTGCAGGTCTGCCGTGCAGCGCTGGCAGCCCGAGCTGCACTCTGAGGGAATAAAAGAACACTTTCCAGGTTATCACGCTGTAAGCAGTAAAATACACGCTGATACCAGACATCCTGAAGAAGCTAATGCACCACTTCCTGTTTACTTTTACTGGATTTAACACAAGGAATGAATGTTCTGCTGTAAAACTGAGCTGAACATGCAAACAAACCAAACAAAGAGGTGATTTACGTTTATGCACAGACTTTTAAAAAAAATGCTTGAATCTTTTGCATATTTAACCTTTTAATGGGGCTGGGACAGCAGCCTGCGGACAGAAAAGAGTTCAACTGCGTAACTTCTGAACAAACTTGCAGTGAGATGAGACGTTTCTGTGTTCAGGTAACGGATGAAAACCTAACTGCTGGAATAAAACGGGTAAGAAAGGAGCTGCTGATGACAGAACGCCGTCGGCTGTGAGTACACGTTGTCATGGCAACGTCGGCTGCAGCGCTGCATCCGACTCACACTGGGAATTCACAAAAACTACAGCGATTTAAAAATAAAAATTGTTTACACATTATTTGTTAACTTGAGCCCTGCGGAACGAAGCTGCTCGCACACATGTGACATCTGTGCACACGAGTTAAAAACGGAGTTGGTTTTTGGTTTTCTGTATAAGTTCTGTCCTTTGAGGCAGCTGGAAGTTGATTGTTGTAATTTTGAGGCTTTAAAAGAAAAACATTTAGGTGTGTTTGTCTATCACATCATGTTAACAATATCTGTTTGGATGGGAAAAAAAGGTGAACGGATAGAAATTGTGCAAACTAACGGGTAAAATTGAAATACTTCTTATAATTTTAATCCTCAAAGTTGGGGTCATGACCCCACGGACCTGCAGGTCATTAAACACCAGGTGATGGTCCTGAGACGACACAGAAAAATCTAATTTAACTGCAAATTGTTACAAAAACAGTTGTAACTGGATGGCATGGGGTTTTGTTTTGTCCCGTTTAATTTATCTTTTAATGAAGATCTTTAGTCAGTGAAGGGTTAACAGTCTGTTGTTGGTATTTTGTTGTTCAGAAGATAAAAATTAGGACACCTCTGATTTATTCTGTTCATTTCATATATTTTAAATAAAAATCCTGAATTATTTCCTGTTTTAATGATCACTTATGTTTTTTTTTTTTTACCAAGCCCATGTACTTTGAACTCAAATAAACCATTTATGTGGGTCAAATGATTGATTTTCTTTATTTTGTGTCTTATTATTGATCGTTTCATGAAGTGCGCTACTGGAAAAGAGAGCTTGATCTCATCGGGTTAAGTGATGCTGATCATAAAACCTGTCAAACGTGCTCCTGATAAAAGTCAAATAAATAATCCAGAAAACTTTTTGTTGTTAAACCGTGTTTGTAAAGAAGACTAGTGAAGGAGCAAAAACAAAACGTTAAGTTTGAGTCATTTTCTTCCTAAAGTTAAATTAAAACATCCCCTTCTCACTTCGTTGTCCCTCTTTGCATCTTTACACCTGAAACTGCATCACGGTCCACCGCAGCAGATAAGAGCCGACCCTCAGACCCACATCCGTCTTCAGACAGCAGCACCGCCACACAGACGGGTCTGAGATCAGCTCAACGGTGACGACCACCTGGAGGCGTTTTATCAGCTGCCTGCGTTGTGTTTGAACCGGCACACAGGTGGAGGGGAGAGATCACCATCAGACCAACATCAGGGCTCTGCAGGTGATGCTTCGTGGTTTGGACAGGTGAGGACAACGGTGGGAGGCAGACACACAAAGATTTTGAAGAAAGAGAAGAAAACATCTCCATCTTCTACCACTTATCTGTAGGCAGGTCCCAGAGGCAACAGGTTCTGAAGAGAAACCCAGACCTCCCCCTCCCCAGTGACACTGTCCAGCTCCGCCAGGGGGATCTAAAGATGTTCCCAGGTCAGAGGATGTATAGTCCCTCCAAAGAGTTCTGTGTCTGCCCCCGAGTGTCCAGGAGGCATCCTGATCAGATGAATCATCTCAACCGGCACCTTTCAATGCAGAGGAGCAGCAGCTCTACTGAGAACTCCCACCAGATGATGGAGCTCCTCACCCTCTCCTTAAGGCTGAGCCCAGCCACGCTACGAAGGAAGCTCATTTCAGCCGATTGGATCCAGGATGTGGTTCTTTGGGTCATGATACAAACTTCATGATCACAGGTGGGGGTTGGAGCATAGACAGACCAGTAAATCTAGAGCTTTGCATTTTGACTCAACTCTTTTTCAACAAAAACAACGAAAGCAAAACCCACGTAACTGAGGACAAGACCCTGATCCGTCCCATTCCTGGTACCAGTACACCCATGATCAGTCCCTGGTGGGTTCTCTCATGGTAAACAGGTCTCAGATGAGGGGTCAGACCAAAAGCAATTAAAAACTTTAATGGATGAATGACATGTGCCAAACCTCACCTGGAAAAAAGGAAACTGTGTTTAGGAATCCCAGTTTGGCGCCAACATAAACAGCTGAGATCCACTGGGACTAATGAACTTCAAGGGTGTAAGTAACAGCAGAGGACTTCAACCAGACGCTGTTGCATTATCTGCCTTACGGCATGCCCCTGGCCTGATCGTTACTCTTTGTGATTTGTAAAAGTTAACCTTTTTTTGTGCTCCACCTGTGCCTTGGTTCCCCATCTAAAGCCTCCTCGTGACCTCCTCCGCTGCTCCTTGCCTTCCACCACTTGCCTCATCAAATTAATCTTTCTGGAACCATTTGATGGGGTAGAGGCAGGGCAGCCGACTCGGGACACAAAAGTCCCAGGTTCGATCACCCAGTCATTGCACATGTTGTGGCGTCTCTGAGCAGCACACCTTAACTCCAAATGCTCCCCGGGCGCTTTCAATAGCTGCCCACTGCTCCACCTGGTGGTGGATGGGTTAAATGCAGAGAGACGATTTTGCCATTGTATGGGAACAGATAATGATGACAACGCATAACACATTATTATTATTATTTGGACCTTCGGCTCTGTGAAAACCACAATTTCTAACCATAAGAAACTAATTGGACAATATATGCTTCCTGTGGACAATAACATATCTCAGTAACTCTGCTCTTTGCTCTCCAGGGTTCCAGTCCCTCCCTGCCGAGTCATCACATCGTTCGTTCATTCACTTATTGTAAATAAACACTGTTAAACTTTTCTCTGATCTTGGACTTGTTTCTTTTCGGCCATTTACTATCTGGGTATTATACTAGAACCTTACACTGTGGAAACCGACCGACTGAAAATGAGGCCATGATCCATCGATCTATCTCCCGCTCCATCCTACCATCACTCAAGAACAAGATGCCCAGATCCCAGATCTCCTCCACCGGAGACAACACTGTTTTCTGTCTCATCAATCATAGTGCAGGTAGATTATTGTTTTTATCCAAACCAGTCAGTCAGCTCCTGAGAGGAAACCTGGTTTGGTTCCCAGGTTTAATCAGCGCAGGTGAACAGATGGGAGATCCGTGGTCCTGCAGCTGTGTGAGACTGAGTGAAGGATTAAACTAAATACTAAATCCCTTAGATGTCGATTTTCAAATCTAAACAATAAAACCTGCATCACCTGACCAGTCCAAAACAAAATAATCCAGAACAACATCAGATTTATCAAGGAAGGCATGAGGAAAACTGTTCAAGTGGCTGTAACTTAATCAGTTGTACAGATAATAAGCTAAAGTTTGATGTGGTAGTAGCTGAGAGTCATAGTTCTTGTGATCCTCTCCCGCGTTAAAACCTTTGCCTTCTTTTCCCTGCAGTACATGTTGAACTCTAATCTCTTGCTAATGAGAGCCATCATTGTGGATAACGATCTTCCTGCATCAAAAGGTATTTAAAAAAAGAAATATTAAACGGTCTTGGTGTCATCTCACAATCACGCCTTCCATATAATATCCCCTTGCGAGAAAAACAGGCGTGTCAGCGATCCTCCTGCCAACGTTCTGCAGGCGATCGGCTCTGAACGCTGAACAAATTGCTCCACACCGGAGATAAGATAACTCGGGCGTCAGGGGTTATTGACTGTGCAGACTAAAACTGAATATAAAACTAAAACAGTATTGATCTGGCTCCTCGGAGACCCTCTTTACGGCGTAGTTACCATTTTTGAAGCACATAAAAATGATATTCCGAAGTTATAAATTATCTGCACAAGAGACGGATGCTGCTCCTCTCCAGCGGAACGGATTTATATCAGATATTATCCCATCTAGTGTTTCTTTACCCCCCACCCCTCCCCACATTTCCTGAATTTCTTAAATGAGACTCAAACAAGACAATCAAGACAGATGCTTCTCGGCTGATTGCCTCACTGAGATTCTGGGCCAATAAAAGGTGTTTGGCTGAGCGGGTCCTCCTGTAATGAAGCCTGAGTGCAGAACCGGGTCAGGAGATAGGAAGAATTGGGACGTGTTGCGTATGAGCTGAGCTGAGAAGAGCAGAGAAGCTGTGTCCCTTTTCACCGTGTCAGGACTCGCCACTCCAATGACTGGATTCATAAGCGCAGTGATTAAGGAAGTTCTGGTTCTTTTTTACACGCTCACATCTGGATCGCTGTTGGCTCAGAAACTAAATGGGTTTTCATCCTGTTTGGGTTTTATGATAAGGTCTGATGAGCCTAGACTAGAGCATGGGTGTCAAACTCAGCTACAAAAGGGGGCCAAAACTAAAACTTGGTGCCACGGTCTAATCTCCGTTGATACATTAACTCATGTCAGATACTCGATTGCTTTTCTCAGTTGCAGGTTCAGCAACAAGAGTTAGATTGGTCTAAATTTACGTTCTCGGTTAACCTTTACCCATCAAAACAACAACATTACTAAAGAAAAAGAACCTTATTTGGCTTCAAAGTTGGCCACCTGTCAAGGGAAGTGGCAGTAAATGAAGTATGCTTTGTTTGTAAGAACAACAAAAAGTTATTTGACATTTAAACTATCATCTTGGGGGCCAGATACAACACTAACAAGGGCCAGATTTGGCCCCTGGGCCTTGAAATTGACTCATGTGGCCTAGAGATTA